AGAATTGTGGGGCCCGAGTTCAAATCCTCGCTCAGGATTTGAATTTGGGTCCCACGATTATGGCTAGTCTTTTTCTTCCCCCAGTCTAGTCCACCTGGGAGGAGCCACTGAAGCAGATTTAGTGCCCTCAGACCTTCCTTTTGACTTTCTCTCCAGACAGCGATGACGCGCCACGAGCTAAAACCAGCCTCGAGACTCCACAGGGGAAGGGCAGGATCCGGGCTTTGGCCCAAATCCAAGTTCTCAGTCCAGAGGATGACTTGGCCGCCCTCCTCCTTCAGGTAAGGACATCCGGTGCCCAATTCTGTCTCCCTCCCTGTGTCCAGCTGTCCCAAGCATCAGCATCACCGGTCTCTACGGCCCTCGCTCCTTTCTCTATCCTCACCTGCACTTGGCTCCTGTCCTCAGTTTTGCTGGAAGCCAGGTTTCGCGCTTAGAAATCAATCATTGGAATTTGTGGACAATTTGCAGCATTTTCTCACATTATTTTATATTTTAATACAGAGATTTGAATGGGTCTCTTGTCCACTTAGCTTAGTTGTCTATGGCAGTGGTTCTTAACCTTTGTTACTCAGATGTTTTTGAACTGCAACTCCCAGAAACCCCAGCCAGCACAGTTGGTGGGGAAGGCTTCTGGGAGTTGCAGTTCAAAACTCATGAGTAACCCAAGGTTAAGAACCAGTGGTCTATGGGGATTGCACATCCCTTTATATCATTTTTTGCATTATAACTGTCAAAATCCCAGAAAATGTAGATTATATTGGTTGCAGGCACCTCGGGGTCTGTGACCCAAAGGACTCATTTTTCCCCCCACGTCGCCTCTTCATCCCCTCTGATGCCTCCTTTTCATGTTTTGGGCAGCTCTTTCCACTGACTCCGGATCCCCGCTGGCAGAACTCGAACCCGCGGCCCCTCTCCTTGGCTTTGCAGCAGGCGCTGGCCAAGGAGCTGGCCCAGATCCGCCAGGGCAAGGCCCCCGTGCCGGCTGGGATGGCCACCAAGCTCCTGCAGGCGTTGGTGGCGCTCCTGAACGCTCCCCGTGGCGGGACGGTGGCGATGGCCATGCACCGGAACCACGTGGTGTCCTGCCCGCTGATGCGGCTGCTCTGCCAGTATCAGGTAAAGGGCCTCCCTTCGCCCTCCGTTTTTTTTAACAAGGATCCCGAGGACGTTCTGATGCTGGGACTTTATAGGGTCTGGTGGGCCAGGATTGGCCGTTTTAGGTCAGCTGATGGACCCCCCCCCATCCATTTAGACCTGTGGTTTCCAACTGTGCTGGTCGGGATTTCTGGGAGTTGTAGTCCAAGAACACCTGAGTGACCCATGGCTTAGAAGCGACTCTGTAACCAGGCAACTGGGTTTGCTCGGCTTACAGTAGGAAGAAGAAGAAGAAGAAGAAAAGGATGGAGGTGAGCTCCTTTTTTACTCAAGGGAGAAAGGAGGGCATAAAGGACACCAGGCCCCTTGTGGGTGGAATTAATGGAGAGATGGATTTAAGTTTAACACAGCGAACAGAGAGAGAAGGACGTCTTTTGTTAATTCAGAAACATTTTCAGGTAGAGGTCGACAACATTTAAAACAATAACGGCCACAGAATCAAACCCGTCGATACCGACAGGAATTTTTTTCCACACGGAGGGGGATGGGTGGGGACGTCTCCCTGGGAGGGGCTCACGACGGAAGCGTTCGTTACAAGGGAGGGGCGCACGGGCGATGCGCAGAGGCTGGATCCTGAGTGCTTCGTCCTTGGCTTAAGACGACGCGCCAGTCCATGCAGGTCGTAGGTGGCAGTCCGGCTCCTTTGCTCCTTTCTGATCCCGCCTTTCCTCCTTTCAACGCCTCCAGCGTGCCGTCCCACAGGACTCCGCGTTTTCCTCGTTGTTTTTCAAAGTCCTCGTGCAGATGTTGCAGTGGCTGGAGAATCCAGCTGTGGAGGACGGCCCCCTCCGGAGTCAGCTCAAGGTCTTCGCCGTTCAGTATACTTCCCAGCACAGGATTGGGGACGGTGAGGCCTGGGGGGGGGGCACTGGGGGGGGGTGTGGCGGCACTAGGAGGATGGCTGGTGAGGAGGAGAAGGGGGTAAGACACAGTGTTGTCTTTGAGACTGGAAGTGGTTTGGGGCAAAGGTGTTTTGGGGGGTTGTTACTTTAGAGAGAAGGGGGACCCTGTTTTCCTCTGGAGGCTGTTGCCCATGATCCTCACTTACAGCCATGCAGGCTGTGGTTAATGGGATTTGGTGTTTGTGTGTAAAGAACTGTTCTTTTTTCCCTGCCAATAGAGCGCTGTTCTTCTGTGTTCCCCCCCCCCTTTTTTTCACCCAATGGCAGTCCGAGGTGGGTTTTTGCACCTGGCCGAAGCGCTGGCCTTCCGCCGCGAGGCCGACGTGATCGGCTCCACCGCGTCCGCCCTGATTGCCGCCTTGAAGTCTGGAGAGAATTACAACGTGGAGCCCGAGCTGGTCAGCAAAGGTAGGCCAGGCCTCCCCGTCCTCCGTCTCCGACCAGAAGCCCTAGAAAAGCTCCTCCCGGAAGGTCAGGGAGGAGGAATCGATTTTCCTCTCAATCAAGGTGTGCAGACGCCCAAGAAGGTGCAACCGGGGGGGGGGGTCTCCGGCCAGATTTCCCACCCCTAGCCCCTGATCTGGGGGCTTGAACCAGGAACTTTTTGCCCTCTGAGACAGGGGTGATATACCCAAGTAACAAAGGCTCCTCCACCTCGGATTTGCTCGTGAGCCCTGGGAGATGGACGTTGCCGGTCTCATCCAGCCATCAACTCCCTCTCTCTTAGCCTCAGTGACCCACCTGTAAAATGGGTGTGATGAGGACAGCGCCTCTGGCAGGCGAAAGGGAAGCAAAGCCAGCGTTTCCTGAGCTGTGAGGGCTTCCGGTCACAGGGCCTGCTCGTAGCCCTGTTCTTCTTCTCCTGGTGCTACTTTCCAGCCCTCAGGTCCTGTGCTTGTCCGTGTGTTTAATGCAACTGTTAATCCAGGCCCTGAGGTTCAGAACGAGGTTTAGTTTTGCTGGGTCTCTCTTTCCCCCTGTGGTCTGTCTGTGCGGGGGTGGTGTTTCATGTCCTGTATTTTCCATCTCTCTTTCCCCCTGTGGTCTGTCTGTACGGGGGTGGTGGGGGTGGGGGTGGTGTTTCATGTCCTGTATTTTCCTCCTTAGTCCTCCGAGGCCTGACGGAAACGCACTCCCCTTACCTGGAGGAGTTCCTGGTGGCCCTCTTCTCGGTGACCATGGAGACGTCCTCCCGTTTCTCCACCACTGGACCCATTTCTATGGTCAGTTCTTTGCTGCTCCAGCACAGAGAGGAGGCCCCGGTCAAGAAAGAAGCCGAGAGCTGCAGGTGGGGCCGGCCGGAGGGGTGGCCGAGTTCGGGTGGCCGAGCTTGAGCGCCTTCTCTCTTGACGGCTCCCTCCGGCCTTGTTTTTCCACCTCTCCAGTGCGGAAGTTGCCCGGCTGGGGCCCGCCTCCGGCCTCTTCATTGACTGGCTGGAAATGCTAGACCCCGAAGTGACCACCAGCTGCCCGGAGCTCCAACAGAGGCTCCTGTTCTCCTGGAACAAGGTGAGGATCCTTTCGGACAGAATGGACGTCAACCCAAGCCGGGCGACGTCAGTCTCCCTGTGGGGGAAGACCCTCTCCTTCCGAGCCCCCACTGGCGGCTTCCTGCCCGCTTTAGGTCCTCGGGAGGTGGGTTGGATTAACCCCCTGTGGGTTGGCCGTCGTGAACCTACCATGGCTTGGCCTCATGAGGAATAGAGGGGTTTCACTGTATGAACCGTCATGATACCCACAGATCAGTGAGGCCTGGTGAGATTAACTGGGTCTCTCAATGGCTGTTGAGGTGGCCAAAGCACAGTAAAGGGGGGGAAAAGACTTTTCCAATCTCTGGCAAGCCTCATGTAGATAGTAAGAGTCTTGTGTTTTGATCTTGTCTGTTCAACGCCTTGCATTGACCCATTCCTGTCTCCTCCCATTACTCACTTGTAACTTATCCCTTCTTATTTTCAGGAGAAAGCCCCCTCCGAGGGCGAGGCGCCCTCTTTCCGCCCATACCTCCTGGCTCTCCTCACCCACCAGTCCAACTGGACCACCTTGCACCACTGCATCACAATCCTCCTCTCCAAAAGCCGAGAGCAGCGGTGAGCCTCCCCGGGACACGATCCCCTCCTTCACAAAGCACGTCTTGTGTGTTTCTGCAAGGGGAACCCCTTTGATGGCGTGGCGCGGTCTCGCCAGGCCCTGCAGTGAGGGACGGGAGAGAAATGAGCTTCAGTTTGGGGGTCAGAATTTGGCAAAAGACATTCGTTATCATTTGAGGGACAGAAAACCCCTTAAAACTGCAGATTAGGAGAAATGAAATCTACAGGCTTCGTTTGTCCAGTAGACAGTCCCAGATTCATAACAGTGGTTGCTTGAATCCTCACGTATCCGGACACACCGTTACATCTTTTGTGGTAAAGGAGACTTTCCAGTCAGTGCTTTGAAGAGCGATCGACGTGGCCCTGGAGGTTTTCCTTGGGCTGGGGGAGATTCAGGACTTTGGCTCTGGGACCCCTTCGATTTTTACACGCCTCCCTCTTTTGTGTCTGATTTTTGGTGCAGATTTGACCCAACGGCTTCTTTGGATTTCCTGTGGGCCTGCATTCATATCCCTCGGATCTGGCAAGGCAGAGACCAGAGGATCCCGCAGGTAAGGGGCTCCTCTCCTGCTGTGGATTTCAAGCAATGATCTTGATCCACCAGAGGGAAGCTGCCAGTTCGTATTTCAGATGGCTCCCCGTTATTTCCTTGCATGATGTTTGTAATAATCATAATCATGCGCCGTCAAATCAGTTCTGACCTGTGGTGATCCTTTGTGGGTTTTTCAGGTGGGCTTCCCCCTTCCCTTATTCTGGGGGTGCCCTGGGACTGTGCAGCTTGCCCAAGGCTACCCAGGCTGGCTCTTCTCTCAAGGAGGCCCAAAGTGGAGAATCAAACTCTCCCCTTCTGGATTGAGCTGCCTATGGAACCTTAAACCCACGATTCTCTGCGAATTCCATCTCCATCCAGTGAATCCAGAGAGCCAGACAACTCCTAACTGGTGGGTCCTGAAGTGACCCACAAGCAAGACCTCAAGGGGTGCAGTGGGGGTCCCTGAGAGGGAGCATCGTTTTCACAGGAGCGGATCCTTCCCGTTCTGTGGAGTTTTTCATCCCGTCTCATCTTTTTCCCTCCCATTCCAAAACGGCATCGCAGAAACGGCGAGAGGAATTCGTTCTGTGTCTCAAGGCTCCTCAGTTGATCAGCCTGGTGGAGTTGATCCTGGCGGAATCGGAGACCCGGAACCCGGATCCCAAAGAGGCTTCTTTTGCAGCGACCCAGTCCCGCCTCCCGCTTCTGCTCAGTTGCTGCCACGGAGACGTCGAGAGCATTAAAAAAGTCACGGGCTACCTGGCCGGTGGCCTCCAACAATGGGGGAGCAGGTGAGATTGAGAGGAGGGGAACCCGCATTTCATCTCTGGAAATAAAACGTCGCTTTCGTTAAAACGCTCACTTCTGTTTCCGTTACCCTGATCAATGTTTGGATTCAGTTCGTTCTTGAGCACTTTAATGCCATTCTGTGCTTTACCACGGAAACGCAGCCTCGATGCTAAGGGCTTACCGCCTAAATTAGAGCTGGAAAATCTCTGAGCATCTAGCGGCTTTTGGATTCCAACCCTTTAAGTTCTCAGGGAGAAATCTGCTTTTTAAACATTTGTTTTAGATGGAGATGCAACTTTTTTTTAAAATCAGCATTTCTCAAAAATCAGGTATTTAAAAAATCCATTTTAAGTGGCTCCGTCTTTCTGACCTTCTTTTTGTTTCCTCCTGTTTTAAGGACAATGTCTTGATTTCTTCTGATTTCATGCATGCTTGTTCTGACGGTTGTCTGCCGCCTCGTGTTCCTTGGTTGGAAGAAAGGTGGAATATAAATAAAGCAAATAATAATAAACAATAAGGAGAGATTAGTTATTTTCTTTGCAATGCTCCTGCTGGTGGGTCTGATTTTGTTTTCCCCTCGCCCTCTGCCTCACCTCTTTCTCCTCCGTGTTTTCTCTTTCAGCTCAATGGGAAAGCGTTGCCAGGCCCTCCTCCTGCAAATTTACCTCCAGTTGCCAGAACTCATGATCCCAGCTCCAGAGGCCCTCTTGTCCAACGAAGGGGCCATGAGCAGCAGCACTTGCAAGGTAAGGCCCGGGGAGCGAAAGGGGTGACCATCTGGTTTTGCATTTGCAAGCCGCGCCGTCACTTTGCTGCTTGACCGGGCTGTCAAATATTTTATGGGTGCCGTGAACCGGATCCGTGGAAAACAAAAGCCAAACGAACGCTACAAACCTGCTGCTCAGCTTCCTCTCCACTCGGAAAAATTGCCATGGTTTGTTACAGTCTAATGGACCTCGCAGCCAGATGCCTTCCATTAGCTGGGTGCTCTGGAAAAGCAAATTAAATTTCATGAGGCAGGGAGTTCCAGAGCTTTGGTGTCCCAGTGAAAAGGGCTCCCTTCGAGTGACCGCCTGCCATCGTTTAGCATGTGAAGAGACTTGGCTTCAAAGACGGTTCAAGACAGGAGTGGTGAGGATGCTGGCTCCAGGATGTTAAGAAGGACTTCCTTCTTTGTCTGAAAAATAAACCCAGGCTGAGATTAATGATGGGTAGAATCAAGGGCTGAGAATCAGCATGCGAGGGGGAGGGATGTAGAGGGTGTCCTATGTTTCTGGGAAGGTGGTGAGCAGGAATGGGTTGGCTGGGATGGGTGTTGTGTGTGTAAAATGGATGCTCTCCTGTTGGCCCTTAACGGATCAGACTCTGCTGCTGTCCTTTTCGCCGGTCAGTCCTTCAGAGCGATTTCAGACTTTCACCTCTTTCTCTTCCCTTGAACCTTCCATGCCCAAACAGTGGAGGCCCTGTCCAGTCATGTGCCCCTCGCCCCGGTTCAGACACTTCTCTCGTTCTCTCCGCAGCTCGACAGCCTGGTCCATCGGTTCATCACCCTCCTCGCCGACTCCGGCAGTTCGAAGAGCAGCGAGAACCGGCTGTGGGACGCCAACATGGCCTGCCGGAAGTTAGCCGTGGCTCACCCCATCCTTCTCCTCAGGTTTGATGGGCCACACTTTCCCCATCCGGGCGTTCTTTATTTGAGTAGTTAGTTCCTTAACAGCTCTGATTTTTTCCCCCCAAACCTGGAACATTGCTGAGTAGAGGTAGCGATGGATGCCAACTTGGATGGCTTCCCAGTCATGAAGGGTCGAGCTGTCCATGTCTTCTAGGCAGGGTGGCCGTGTCCCCACGTTCTCCAGTGTCAGAGACGCTGGGGAGCATGAGATGCAGGGTGCGGTGGCACTTATGTCCTACCTGGGCATCTTGGTGGAACAGATGCTGGCCTTCCATGTCTTCTAGGCAGGGTGGCCCACGTTCTCCAGTGTCAGAGATGCTGGGGAGCCTGAGATGCAGGGTGCGGTGGCACTTACGTCCTAGCGCTGGGCATCTTGGTGGAACAGATGCTGGCCAATACGACCCAGCGCAACTCTTCTTAAGGTCTCAGGCTTTGTACAAAGAAGGTTCAGTCTTAAGAATCTCTCGGTAGAGGGAGGAAAGACTAGCACAGCTAGGGGGTGAAGGCTTCTGGGAGCTATAGTCCAAGAACATCTGGGGACCCAAGGTTGGGAACCACTGTCCCACCATCTTTTCCTCCAGGCACCTGCCCATGGTCGCAGCCCTACTGCACGGCCGGGTCCACCTGAACTTCCAGGAGTTCCGCCAGCAGAACCACCTCACCTTCTTCGTGCACGTGTTGGGGATCCTGGAGCTGCTCCAGCCGCACGTTTTCCGGAGCGAACACCAGGAGGCGCTGTGGGATTGTCTCCTGTCTTTCATCCACCTGCTTCTGGTAAGGGAGCTCTCTCTCAAAGCCCGACAGAGGAAGAGAGAAGTTCAGACTTTATGGTGGAGAGAGCGGGTGTCCTGGGAATCCCCAAGCTGTCCAGAGCTTGGAACAATAGTGCTGAATTCAAAGATCCACCATCCTTCCCTAAGCTGGGGCACGATAGACGGGTAGAATGACAACTCCCATCATCCCCAGTAGGTTGGTGGGTCGTTTTGTTGTTGTTGTTGTTGTTTTGCAAAAGGGCACTTGGCTTACATAGCGCCCGGTCTCTAGCCTTTCAGAAAGCTTTTCCGAGAGACGCTGGGAATTGAGCATCCGCTATCTGCCTCTGAAACATAGAAGGGAGGCAAAACAATCCAGTTAGAATCATGGAATTGGAAGGGGCGTTTAGCACCATCGAGTCCAACCCCCTGCTCAAGGCAGGTTCAATTGTCCCTCAAAGGCCTCCAGTCTTGGAGCGCTCGCCACTCGACGGTGGTTCAATTGTCCCTCGAAGGCCTCCAGTCTTGGAGCGCTCGCCACTTCCCCCTGAGGTCACCGGTTCTGTCGTCATACTGCTCTAACAGTTAAGAAGGTTTCCCCTGATATTCAGGAAACGTTAGATGGAGTCCTGGAGAGATGTCCCGTCTTTTTTCCCATTCTTAATTGTGGCCTCTGAAATTCCCCCCCCCCCGGCATCTGTTTCCTTTTGCTCCAGAGCTACCGGAAATCTTCTCGCCACCTGGCAGCCTTCATCTCTAAGTTTGTGCAGTTCATCCACAAGTACATCACCTCCAGCGCTCCGGCCGCCATCTCGTTCTTGCAGAAGCACTCGGATCCCCTCCAGTAAGTTCCGCTCTTGATCTTTGTCTGGCCAGTGGGGAGGAAAACCTGGCCCCTGGCCATGGCGTTGTGATTGTCCCACGTTTTGCTCCTTGTGTTTCCCCGCAGTGACCTCTCCTCCGACAACAGCGACCTGGCCGTGCTGAAGTCCCTCTTGGCCGGCCTGAGCCTGCCCAGCAAGAACGGCGCGTTGGACCGAGGGGCCGAGGACGAAAAGGACGGGGGTGAGCCCTTGAGGGATTTCTGTTGTTGCTCGGGCTTTCCTCTTGTGCCAGGCAGGCTGGCTGGCGCTGGGCAACTTTGACAGGTGTAGGGGCCAATTCTGTGCTCCCTCCCCCCCCTCCGCTGGATCATCCAGGCTTCCTACAGACCACTCAACCTGCCAATCCATGCACCCCGCAAAAAATAAAAATAAAAACCCAGAAGTGGCCCAAAGTCTCCTTGGTGCAGTTCCAGGAGAAGCCAAACACCAGTTTTGTGGAGGGGAAATATATTACGGGGCGGGACAAGAGTCTGGGAGAACAGGGACTTAGGGGGATGCACTTAGCACTAGGGTTAACTTGGCCCACCCTATTCTGGACCCACTGAAAGGCCTCCCTCGGTCAGAGACATGCCTTCCTTGGCAGCCGCAAAGGTTTCGCCGTTTGGGCCGTTCCCTCAGATGTTCAGAATATTAGTGGACGGTTTATCAGAATAATACCTTGCTTGGATCAGCTGCCTCTGGCACACGCCCCCTCTCTCTGCCCCCATCCCTGGCTAGTAGCCAGCCTCATTTCTCCTAGCCCTGCTTCCGGTTGCTCCTAAAGGGGCACTTGAAGGGGGGCCACCTCCCTCCTCCAAATGTGGCAGGTGGGGTCAGTCCCTCTCCCAAACCAGGCAGAGCGTCGGACGGTTGGGATATTTAACCCAGTCTTCCGCGGCCGTCCTGCCTCCAGCGGCTGGCTTTTAGAAATGAGGCCCCTGATTGCCCATGCGGCACTTTTTACATGCTTCAATGAGTCCAGATTTTTGACACACAAACCAAAGATGAACTTCTGGAAGTAGGATGTGATGTACGATAAAGGAAGAAATCAGGTGTGCCTGATTCGAGATCCTGGTTTCTAGCACAAGGAGAATGCTTATTTCTCTTTTTTTTCCTCTCTCTCTCTCATCTGTCTTCAGAGGAGGTGGCGGCCGGCTCTTTGCCCCTGGTCAACATCTCCCTCTTCACTCCGCTCACCCCCGCAGAAATGGCCCCGTACATGAAGAGGCTCTCCAGAGGTCAGGCTGTGGAGGGTAAGTCAAGTGGGTTGTTCCCGTCCCTTCCTGACGTCTTCCACAGAGGAGAACTTCTGCTACGGGACTTCTACAGATGGGGAGACTTTAGGAAGCTTTTGGCTTCTTAGGAAGCTTTTAAGAAAAACCTAAAAACCAGCTTTTAGGAATACTCTTATTTTAAAAACAAAACAGAGGGTTGGAAGGATTTCAGATAACTAATGCACGGCACCTCTTTGCTAGATGGTTGTTAACTCCTCAAAGAGAGAGCAGCTTGCTGATTCCTGGCCTTGCTCTTTCTTAAGAGGCTGTTTTAGCTTTGCTTCTCCTTTTCGAACACGGTCCATCAAAAGAGCGAGCAGGTTGGTCCTTCCGATCTCATGGTGGTTTTTTTTCCTCCCAATTTCTTAGATATCTTGGAGGTGCTGACAGACATTGACGAGATGTCCAGGCGCAGGCCAGAAATCCTCGCCTTCTTTTCTGTATGTCGGGCATTGCTTTTTCTTAGCGCGGTTCCTTCTGGCCAGGGAAGTCCGGGCGGGAGAAGGGTGCATTTAGGCAGCTCTGGTAGTTTCCTAAAAGGGGTGCATCTTTTCTGACTCAGGGAGAATTCTCATTGCCCCTTCAGAAGAGACAAAGGGGGTGGAGGCCAGCTTCTGGAGAGTCAGATCACGGTCCCATAAGGCCCCAGCGTTGCCTGCTCTGAGTGGCAGCAACTGACTGTGCAGGGTTCCAGAGAACATGGCTTCCTAGCCCTGGCTGGAGAGCTTTGGGGGTCTCCCATCCATGGGCAAACTAGGCCTGACCCTCCTTCGCTTCCAGAATTAGAGTTCAGGATGGGATTTCCACGGCCCACCCTTCTCTGAAACATCTGGGTGATTTCTTTGGCTTAATTGTCAGTGGGACTCAGAGGCTTTTCCCCCTGAAGGACCGCTGCTCTTTTGTTCTCCTTTAGACGCCTTTGCAAAGGTTCATGAGTTCTCCAGAGGAAACCTGCCGGAATCTGGCCTTCAGCCTCGCTCTGCGCTCCATCCAGAACAACCCCAGGTGGGCCAAGCTCAGTAGGCGTGGAGCAAGGAGCTGGGAGGGGATGGGACTGAACCCGGGCTCCTCTTGGCCACTGACGGGGAGATGGGTTGTTATTGGACTACAGTTCACAACATCCATCGTGATGTTGATTGGCCGTGCTGGCTCAGTCCAGTGGGTCACATGGTCTCCATCTTTGTTCTGAGCCTGAAGCTCACTGGCAAACCTCTCTGGATTCCAAGGTGTACTGGGTGGAGGGGGGGTAGATTTCACACCAGGGACCCTCCCTTGACTGTTCTGCCGCCGCAGTCTGTCTCAGGGTGCCAGCACGCCTCCCACAGCCAATAAGACCGACCCCACAAGACAGTCAGAAGCCTTGCCGTCACTCGGATTTGGCTTAGTGTCAAATCCCATCGGCCTCTGTGCTTTGTCACTAAGCCAGCCACGAGTGAGGGCAAGGCTGCCTAGGCAACTCAAGCACCTTGCGTGTGTTTTAATGGCACTCTCAACTGCCACGGGTCCGTTTCGTCCAGCCAGCGCAGTTGGTGGTGAAGGCTTCTGGGAGTTGCAGTCCAAAACTCCTGAGTAACCCAAAGTTCAGAACCAGTGGCCTAGACAACTCAAGCACCTTGTGTGTGTTTTAACGGCACTCTCAACTGCCACGGGTCCGTTTCGCCTTACATTCTGCCCTTCTGTCCATGGGCTTGGAAGGCTGCATGAGAAAGGCGCGCTAAAATCAAAACCCAGTTTTTGCAGACTGGAACAGGAGTGGTAGACCTGGGAGAGGTGGTTCACCGGGCGCAGGACAGAGCTTCCTGGATCATGAGTTTGGCTCACTTAGCTTGACCTTCCTTAGAAGAGCAGAGTATGCCACCTTGAGCTGATGGATGGAAAAGTGGGATATAAATGCAAAAAAAAGAAACAGTGTGAAGAGAGTCTCCCGCACCAAAACACTCAAGGAGACCAGGTTTGGTCTGATCTAACTGGGCTCTCCTTCGGTTCTTGACTCATTGGAACATCTTCCTTCCTCCTTCTCTCTTATTTGAAATATCCCTAGTCTTGCGGCCGACTTCCTCCCAACGTTCATGTACTGCCTTGGGAGCCGTGACTTCGAGGTCGTTCAGACTGCCCTGCGGAACCTGCCTGAATACACCCTCCTTTGTCAAGGTGAGAAGGACATTCCGTTTCCTAGCGTTTGCCACAGCCGGCCTCACCTTGCAGGGTTGTTTTGAGTGGCCTTTCTCCTACCGACTTCCCCTCCAATGGGTTGAACCAGCAGCTCTGGTGACTGGGGGATGATGGGTCTTCTAGGTCGGGGACGGGCTGCTGTGTGCTCGAAAAAGTGCCCTCTAAACGCCCAAGTCTTTTTAGGCTATACCGACTTGTAGAAGGAACTCAGATGTATAAATGTGATCAGATGGTTTCAAATGAAAATGTATCAATGCCAGTTTGTATATATCAATCAAGCTGGCCAGATAAATATAGCTATTTGTAGTTTTTAAATTTATGAGATAAATCATTGTGGGATTGCAAGATGGAGCCAAAAATGAGACTGTCCTCCTTTGTGCACAACCATGGAAATAGCAAGATTCTCTGGAAGAGACAATAATGTTAGGAAAGGCTGAAAGCGGCAGGAAAAGAGGAAGACCCAATATGAGATGGACCGACTCCCTCAAGGAAGCCACAGGCTTGAGTCTGCAGGAGTTGAGCAAGGCCGTTGGGGACAGGACATTTTCGAGATTGCCCATTTGTAAGGTCACCATGAATCAGAGGCAACTTGATGGCCCATAACAAGAACAAAATAAAAATCCCGAGCTGCAGGCTGGGCTGTTGAGGGAACAGGTGGGTGGGAACGTAAGACTCTGTCGCCTCTCGTTAAGCATCGGTTCCGCCGGTTTCTCTGGTGCAGCTCCTGGCATTTGGCTGTAAAAACAGAGTTGGCATTTCGTGCTGCAATCCCAGAGGCTGGCCATACCTTTTCCCTTTAAACGCTTCAGGTCAGGTTTGGGAGTCTTGGGTCTGGTGTCCTTTTTGAGCAAACACTTTGACGAGCCCAGGCGGGGTGGGGGGGCCGTCAGGCCGCACGGGCGGCTGCGATCAAATGGCAACCGGCGACTTCTCCTTGATCCCTTGCAAATCGCGGGCGACGTCCCCATTACGCCGAGCAGAGGGTAAAGACTCCTGGAAGGTCTTTGTGCTTCCTTGTCTCCTGGCTCGGGTTCAGGCAGAAGCTGTAGGGCGTGCGACCAGCATCGCACAGCATCTGTTCCCTGTCTTTAAAAACCCACCGAGAGCTGGAGTCGCCTTCCTGACAGGGAGGGTCCATTTTGTTCAGAGTGTAAGCGCTCCTTTGGTTTATCTACGAGTCACCTTCTCGGCAGCCTCTAGGAAGTGCCGTTTTTCTGTAAAATTAAGAGGGGCTGCCTGGGTTTACAGAAAGGGGTGCATTTCAAGTGAACCTCTCGGTACTTTTTGGGTTGAATAAAAATGTTTTTTTTGGGGGGTGGGGAGGAATACAGGGTGTGGTTCACAGCAAATCCAAGATGGGTGGTTGTCCGCCCTGGTTTAAAGAGAGCTGTCTTTTAAGATTGTCCTGTCTTCTCCCTGCAGAACACGCGGCGGTGCTGTTGCAGAGGGCCTTCTTGGTTGGCATATACAGGCAAACGGACACCAGCTCCCAGATTTCGGAAGCCTTGAAGATTCTGCACATGGAAGCCATGATATGAAGCGTGGGGCCCCAAGGGCCCAGAATTTCAAGTCGGGGAAACGTCTCTCCAGCCCCACGAAGCCTGGAAACCCAGGAGAAAAAAACCAAGTGTCCTGGGGGAGCCGAGATGTTAAGAGACATTGAGATGCCTCCTCCTGCAGTTGAGGTGAAGAGCAAACTGGCCAAGAGAGTCTGGCATCCAAGGGGCCATTCAGTTAGGTTTCAGCCCGGACGTTGAGCACCCTTCTCGTTGAGGGTGGCAGAAAAGCCGGGGTGATCTTATGATAATGTTTCTTTGTTCCTTGTTAATATTAAAACATATTTCAGTTCTGTTGTACTTCCTTAGCAGGTGCCCCTCTCGACAGACAGACGGGTTTCGAAATCTACAAAGCACGAACGGGCAAAAGGCTGGTTTAGGACAGAGATTGATAGACAGAGAAGCGTATGGTCTAATTTGTATCAAGACGGCTTGGATTGGTCTGGGGCAGGTGTGTTAAAGGTTTCATTCTCCAGATGTTAGGGTTCTGCTAGTCCCTAACAGCAGCCTGTTAGCTGGAGCCGATGGTACTTGGGGTCTATGAATGTCCAGAATTGGCCCGCCAGCTGCCGAATCCCAGCCTTGACCTCTGAGCCCTGCTAAAAGGCTGTAACCTCAGGGTGTCTTTTCACTTTGCTGTGATATTTGCACTGCGTTTAGCCCCCAGGCTCACTTCTCCTTCCGCTCCCCCGGTTTGCAACCCTGGCTTCCTCATCCCTTCCCTTTTAACTCCAGCCAGCTTGTTGTCCTGATCTCCCAGTTTAAACCCCCTTACAAACAAAACCGGGGTTGGAGGGAAGGGAGAAACAGAAAGGTAAGTAAAAAGGGGACCACCTGGAAAGAAGGACGGCATGTATCGTTGAAAGGAACAGGGCCTGCAGTATCCAGTTTTTGCCACACCTTGAAGATCAAACATTTGGGATGTGCATTTGTTTTGGAAAATGTGTAAAAACATATCTTCAGCCAATAGGGAAAAAAAGGGTTGTGGTGGACTGGAGCAATGTCCATTTTAAATAAAAATTCTGATTGTCGGTTAGAAGAACCACAAAACCTTCTTGGAATAAAAAGAGAAAGCAAAACAATTCACTCTGCTAAGAACAACGCAGTAGGACCACAGTATCCTAGGGAGATCGGTTGGAATCCTCAAACTCGCAAATGTCTTCATTTGCAGTGGCTCGTGCGCCAACACAGAGGGCAAGAGTGTGTGGATCGTGTGCGCGTGTGGAAAAGATGAAGCGGCAATCTTTGTTTTGACCTCTCAAAAAACGAAAATTAAAAAGGAAAGCAAACGGAAAAGCGACTAACGGTTTATAGTCGACCGTAACAGCTTTAGTGGCCACAGCGGGCCTGAAATGAAATCCAAGGCTAATCACGGAGGTGTTTCCCCAGAGCCGCTTAAGGATGATGAATCTTGCTACCCACTCCTGGAGAGCTTTAACTTCCAGCTGGACCAGCCTCGGACCAAACACCATTAGGAAAAAAAATGGTTGCATGGTTTTTCTTATATGGGGAAGAGCCCAGACCAACCAACCTTCTGTTGGACGGGGAAGAGAAATCTCAATGGCTCGAAAACTTATTTGATCCCATTGGGGGTGGAAAAATTGGAATAACATGTAAAAGAAGCAGAAAAACAGGACTTCCAGATGCCTCGGTGACTAAAATTATGGAAAACGTGGCTCAGAATTTGAGGTTCCTTGATCTTGGCAACTAATTCTCGCGCTTACTCCGCTCTGTCCTGAAATAAAAATACTGGTTATTCTTGTTGTTATCACTCAGAGCTCAAAAAGTTACATCTCTCCCTCTTCTTCGGACTCCTATCTGATGGAGCAGACTGAAGCTCATGCCAAATTTAACCTGGTCATCTTTCAGGTATCACAATCCGCAGCAGCTTTTGCTCCAAGAAGTTAACATCCGCCACTGTAAATACTTATTCAAAAGCAACGCATGGAATCAAAGAATCATGGAGTTGGAAGGGGCCCATTGGGTCATGGAGCCGAACCCCCCCCCCACTCACGGCAGGAATCCCGATCGAACGGATGGTTATCCAGTTTTCTCTTGAATGCCTCCAGCCTCGGAGTGCTCGCTGACTTTCAAGGTGCTCTTGTCGTACTGCTCGAACGGTTAAGAAGTTTTTCCTGATATTCAGCCTGAATCTGGCTTCCTGTCGCTGGAGCCCATTATTTGGTGTCCTGCACCCTGGGAGGATCGAGAACAGATCCTGCCCCTCCTCTGCGGGACTACATTTCAAGTATTTGAAAAGTGCTATCATAATCCACTCAAATAATTACTTCCAGGCAGTTGATTTTTTTCTAAAATTCTAATGCTACAAGGCAGTGGACAGTGGGAGAGAACGACTCCCCCCCCGTAAAGACATTAACACAAATAAATGTATGATAGCTGAAGTTTAACAAAGCTGGTGATCTCTAAGCGCTTAGGTGGCTAAGCGCGGCCAAGCCCATCTCCCACCCGACCGTCGTTTGGCTTATGAGTAATTTCCAATAAACTCCAGAGAGTAAAACGGCCAGGGCTGCAATCTGCAATCTCTCTATTAGAGTAAAAATAAAAGGAGTCATTTTATTGCCCTCACGGCCTGTTTGCCGTTATTTGCATAATTGCTAATAAGACAATTAGCAATTATAGCTTAATAATTATACTGCAGCAATAACTGTCCTATTGTATCATAATGAAATTCTTAATTGTTTGCTAGGGCTGGGATTTTTTTCCCCTTCCCCTTTGCTTTCTGGTTCCTGCGGTCGAGCGTTAGAAACCAAGAAAGATGTGTCAGGAGAGGAAATATAAGATGGGAGAGAAACATGTGAGGTTCCAGAACAGAAAGGAACATAGATTTTTGTTTGGTAAAAGCGTTTAAAATTGGGGGGGGGGGAGGGAAGAGGAAATGCTTCTAATAATTTTAATCAGGTTCTCTCTGCATGATCAGTGTTCCTGCCTGCTCTTAGTACAGTGGTGATGATTGCTTATTAAGAATTTTCTATCATTATCACTAGTGTCATTGTGGTTAGTATTGCAACAGCCCTTTATCACTCTTTCTAATGCCAAACTCAGCTGGTAAATACTGGAGCCAAAAATTGCCCAGTGAACAAAAAAGGAGATGTAACGAACATGATTAGGAGAACGCTGCATTTTCCCAAAAAATTAAAATTAAACTGACCACTCTGTCTTCCAAACCAGAACTAAGTGCCTTCCGCAGAATCAGCTGGAGGTCCTTTGATAGAATCGTACAGGTTTCACCTCCAAAGGTGGAGAATGAATTCTCTGTGGCCGTTGGTGAAGGAAAGAGATCCTGTTTGAGTGGCTCTGAGCAGAAGCACCCAGAAACATGGCAATTCCCCCCTCATCAGACAAGCGGGAGATTAAATATAGGCGCCCCACTGGGCAAGATGCTCAATGGTCGCTAAATTAAGAGTGTGACCCAGTGGCTGGAAGAAGTGCCGTCTACCTTGACGTTGTTGTTCTGGTGGTAAAACCTGCTTCGATAAGAGAAGTGATGTTCCAGGGACAGAAAACCAGAACAGTTATTTGGCAGTGACTACAACTCATAAAACCACGTGCAACCCATTCCAGATGTTAATAGCAGCCCCTGAATTAGACCCGATCTGACCAAGCTTCTCCTGAAATAGGCTTATGATGGTCTCATTCTTCAACCCCTGGGGCCGCTGTCAGCTAAAAACCGGTAAATGTCGGCAGGCCTTGCCCTCATCATATTTATTTGCCTGCCTCCTTGAGGCGGGAGAGGTTAATTGTGTAATATTTGCCGGGTGATTTGACACTGCGGAGCTTCTAAATACCTCCTATTGTTTGTCACGCAAGTCCATATGATCAGCTCTTCCTGCGAGGTCTCACCGTCATTGCAGGAAGTCTGAGGGAGGCCCGTGTCATTTCTAGGGGACGGAGTTTATCATGGAAGAAGGGACAGTCCTACTTCCAAGATTTTAATTCTGGTTTTATTCTACTTCCCCACAAAAGCAAGAACACCACTCTGAGTCGCTAACAAGGATCCCTAGAATTAAACTCGAGCAATAACACTGCCCAGACAGGATGGTGTCGGGGCTACACAAGTTGCTAAAAGAGATTTGGGAACATAAAATTAGCCTCACCTAGTTCTTGGGGGTCCCAGTTGGTATCTTTTCTCAGTACTGCCCCTTTTTAAACATCTGTATGACCTTTCAGGTACATGGCTTTGGGGCCAGCCTCTGGGGGGTGATTAATTTCTAGCCCAGCCTACGTACAAGCAGATGTGCGACCTTCTTCCTCCGAGCCTGGAGAAAGCAAAGTTGGCCGGGTAATATATTCCCCATCAGCGTCCCGACATCCTATTTATTATCCCGGTTGTAGAGCAACATATGCTAAACCCTTATTACAAGAGATCCTTATCAACGGCAGAAAAAGGATTAATAATGCATTTATAACACAACTTTGCTTTAGTATGAAATGATCTATAAATGTGTAATAAATGTTTTATAATGTTTTTGTAGCCTGTTATAAATGATGAATGGGCAGGCGATAGAGGCGGCATCAAATATTAATGCCGCATTGTTTGCGCCGTTGCGCCGTTACTGTTCGGGAACCCATTAATAATCGAGTGAACGGGGGCGTTTGAAAAAAAAGAATTGCGGACACAGGACGGCATGCGATTTATAACACCATCCATAATCTTTACCATAAAGTAAATACGTAGTGCAGTGACCACCGACGAGGCGGGATGAACACAGTGAATTATTCGTAAAGGTGGTTATATATTAATGTATATTATCCATATCATGCCCATAGACCCGTCGTCAATGTATTATATGATATATATTATTAATCCTCGCTATCCAATTTATAGGCAGCAGTCCTTCAAAAAAAGGGGGGGAGCCTTACTTTGTCCCTTTTGCCGCACCGTTGTTGGGTGCTGGGTGGATTCTTCGCAAGCCCACTGGGCTTTGGCCCCGATGTTTCACCCCAGTCCGCGCCAAGGGCCACGCTCCTTCCTACGATGGCTCGCAGTGGCGTTTGGCTCCTGCTGAGGGACCAAATGCCGCTTTGGCATGGAGGCACGTCACACGTCTCAATATTCAGGCAGCGGCTGCAATCTGCCCTGGATCATCCCCCCCCCCAATTTTATACAGTGCCATCCATGTGCATCCTCTCATATGTGAACTGCCTCTTGACCTGACAATAATTTGCCCCAGGAAATTATTCTTGGGGCAAACCTGGGTCCACTTGTTCACACACACACACACAAACACACATACACATATGAGAGCCACTGACACCTGCTGTTATCAATTAAGCAAGGTAAGCAAGCTTACAAGGCAATTCTGAACACAAGAAGAGGATGCAGTTGGTGCATCATCATTAGAAAGACAGGTTCCTGGAGAGGGGGGGGCGTGACAGAGACGAAACCCCAACATGAGATTGCCTGAATTTACATGCTGCAAATAAAGTTGCTTGCGTTTTCCGAACGGTCATCATGTCGCCGCTGTTGTTTTTGCTGGGAGGTCAACCTGGGCTTCATTTGCCGTTCTGATTGCTTGGGCGTGGAAGTTTGAAGGAACTACGGATCTGGTGGGAAAATGTTGGAATAACAGGCCACGCGTATTTCCTTTACTGTGTGGTTTGATCCTCAGTTACTTAGATCTTAAAATGTGCGTAGATGAGAACCTACCAAAATCCTCATCTTTCAACAGATTCCCTGCCAAGACTTTGAGTCTTCTGAGTGTCTTTAAAGACCTGAAAACATGACCTTTGGTGGGTTTTCCTGGAGGAGAAAGGGTGAAGATATGGTTCTCCTGATTCCTGTCGGACTGCATTTTCCATCATCCTTCATTATCTGCTGTACTACCTAAGGCTGTTGGGAGTTGCAAGTCAATAACGTCTGGAGGACCTTCCTCCGAAGGGTCGTTTTCAGAGTTTGGAAAAGTTATTTTTCTGAAATAATTCTGAATTCTGGAAGCTATGTTATTAAAAAGCTGCCTAGAGTGGTCCGAGCTGACTAGATAGGCGGGATATAAATAAAATAAATAAATAAAATAAATAAAAAGGAACTTTTCTAAGCTCCGAAGGCTTCCAGAGGAAACCAAGGGCTAGTTTGGCATTGGGTTATCCATTCATTGGCTGGGGAAATATAATCTGCTATCCCTCTCAATCCACGCTGGAGCCAAAGGGCTCACTCTGTCTCATAGGAGGGCCGGTCCTGGGCCGGCACTGCTGGTTTGTTGTGAGACATCCAGCCGTTGGGGGAAAATATGCCAGCGGAAAAGTCCGCAGGTGAAATTGTTACACTGCCAGAGCATCACCAGCAGAAGGCTCAAACAAGGTGGAGAGGCATCTGCTCTTAACATCGGATCCAATTTACATTCAAATCCCACCCACGGCACCAGTTTACACGTATTTTAAAAAGTCAGCAAAATCTCAAATCAGGGTTAAAAAATACCTCCATTGGGCCAGCAAAGAATAATGTAAGAAAGTGAGCTTTCAAGCCTTCCAGAGTCTTCATCACATGGGGCGCTGAAGAATTTGGGGTGATGTGAGAGGCAGAGAAGTCCGCGAAATGTTCAGGCTGGGTTTTTGTGGGTCTCTTCGTCCCAAGCTCTCCACGGCACAGTCTGATACAGAATCACAGAGGAACTGAAAACTTTGTCTTTTTTTTTAAATGATCCTATTTTTGTAGTCCAACGTAGCTGTGTTCCGATTCTGCTCGTGGGCCACTCAATTATGTTTCTTTTCCGTTTTGCTGCCAAAAGAGGTGGGGAAGAAGGGTTCACAGACTGGCCTGCTTCTCCTCCACTCGAAGCTGCTGGGACGTGGATTTCTTCCCTCCTCTCTCTCACCAGTGGGCCAGCGGTGTCTCCTGTCCTGCTTGTGTGTACAGGGACAGAGTTGCAAAAGAATCCAGTGTTTTCCAAAGTGCACAGCCAGAACAGGGAATCACGCAGAAACACAGCGGGCACACCCCTCGGAGGGAGCAGTTCTCGGATGTAATTTTTGTGGCATTGTGGTTTCACAGACGGACCACGTCAAGGGCTGCTGAGTCTCTCTCTCCCAATTGATTCACCTCCAGTGATCTTTTGGGCTCCCGATCCAGTTGGCATCGGAATATTCCTTGGGGGGAAAAAAAAGTGTTTTGTGAAGTCTTTAGGCAGGCCAGTTGGCACAGCTATCGGTCGATGTCGCTGGCTTTCTTCCTCTCCTTCTATGCCAAGGTAAGGAACCTCCAAAGGGCTTGGCATAGAACTCCCATCAGCCTCCCCCAGCTTAGCCAAGGGTGAAGGATGCTGGGCGTTGTAGTCCAAAACACTTTTTTAGCCTTGCTGGAAGCGCCTCCTGGTTTTGGGCTTAGCGTATCTCCTTACCCTCATCGGGGATTCCCTTCCGGGTAAGTGGTGCTTCTTCCTGTCAAGGAAGCCACTCCATAGAAATCAATGTTAGCTCAGTGGTTGAGGTCTCTGGCTGAGGAGCCAGAAGTTGGGAGTTCGATTCCACCGCTGTGCCTCCTGGACAGGGGCTGGATTGGATGATCCGAAGGGTCCCTTCCAGCTCTGCAGTTCTAAGAGGATGATGAAATGGCCACTGCTTTTCTCCTGGTCGCTTGTCCCACTGGGAATCAATTCTGCAGTGGAGTCAGGATTTGCAGGGACTGTCCTGAGCGTTCATGTTCCTGTTGCAAATAACGTTGGGGCCGCTTGTTCCTAAAAGGGCAATTAAGAGCCATAGCATTTGCAAAAGCCTTGCTCCTGGCGCAAGTGACAACTGGCTTGAACCAGCATGCTGCTTCTGTCTTCTGGCTGCTAAAGGGGGGGGGAGCAGGAGGTGTGTCAAAAATGGCTGTCAGATACACACACACAAACACACACACACACACACACACACGCGCCCCCTTCCAGATGTCAGACCGCTGGGATGGGCATCTCTCCAAGATCCATGCGCTGGATCAAGGCCTTAATGGAGCTCACGCCTCGGTCAAGGTGCCAGGGAGAGGAGGAGCCGCGCCCCCCCCTTACCGTGCAAAGCAGGGCTTACTCCAGACTATGAAGGGCCCCTTCTCGTGTCCTGTTGCAGTCCCGCGGACGGGGGGGGCTTGCCTCCGAGGAAACCGGCCGAAGTTCGGCGCGCAGCCGTCCCACCGGGGAGGAGGGCCTTCGGAACCCGCTCTGCCTCCGAGATCGGGACCCTCCCCACCTCCCACGGCACGTCGGAGGCCGAGTCCCGAGTGAGCCGGTCCGGGATCAGGACCTCCAACCCCTCCCCCCAAATGCCGGCTCCACACCCCGCACATCGCCTCCGCGCCGCAGCTCCGCACCCGCGATGCGCCCGTTCCCACGGAGCAAAGACCGGGCCGGCTTTCTCCAAGCCCGCGCGAGCGCTCGCCCCCGCCCGCGGCCCACGGGCTCCCTCGCCCGGCCCGCC